AGCAAAGTCAGTGACCCTCGTATACCTTATATGTGGACTTCCTTCCTGACCTCTAGTTTCAAATTCCAGCTGGATGTCCAACAGGTTCTTCAAAGCAGATTCACTATCTGAACACCCCAACATGTTCCTATTTTTGGCTGCCTTATGCACTCCAGTCACCTAAGACAGAAATTTGAAGTGCCCCATTTCTCCCTATTCTTTTTGATAATGATGACGATAATAGCAACTAATTTCCACTTAGTTTTTCTATCTAGAGTCTACGTGCTAAATTTTAATGTCCCTTTATATAATCTTTACAGTAACTTTGTAATGTGTACGTTATTATTCTCATTTAATAGAGGAAGCTGAGGCTTATAAACAGCAGTGCCTGAATTTATATTCAAGGCATCTGACTCTAAAGGCAATATGATTACCCAGTCTACTACACAGCCTTTCCTATTAACTATTCTACCTCAGAAAGTTCCTCACTGCAGTCTTCTCACATGAGCTCTGGCTCTTAACATGGGTGGCTTCTCTCATCCTTCATGAGGCAACTTGGATATCATCCTAACTAAAAAGACCCCCTTCCCCTTATTCTCTTTCATGGTGACTGATCATTTCCTCCATGGTGCTCATCATTGTCAGTTGCTTTATAGATAGATAGATAGATGTACATATGTATATGTATATATACGTACATATATGTATATGTATATGTATATATTTGTTTATTGCCCAATTCTCCCAAAGGAATGGAAGTTCTGTGTGGGAGGACTTGCTATCTTCTTAATTTCCAGCACAGAAAATGCTGATAACTTGTTCAAGCAAAATTAATATCTGTTGACTGACCAGTTGATACACATTTTACTCTGCCCCTTAGGTGTAGTCTTTCCACCACTGATATTCAAGCTCTTGTCATCTTCCTTGGATAACACCAACAGCCAGTTATCTTGTCTCCAATCTCTTCCAACTTGAATCCAAATACAGAAAAAATCATGCTCATATTCCTGCTCAAAACTCTTCAATGGCTCCTCTTTGACTACAGAATAAGTCAAAACAAGATCTTAACGGGGAATTGAAAATTCGATGTTAACACCACAACCTCTCATGTGCCAGCCATACCTCATTACCACTGTTGTCTAGACAAGCTGTATAATTTCATGTCCTTGTGTCTCTTTGATATTGTTCTGTTCCAAAGCTCTTTTCTCCCTTTCCTAAAAAATTACTAATCACTCTTTAGAAATTACCTCTTCTGCAAAGGTTTTATGGGCTCCATCCTCCAGAGAAAAGTTAAACATTGCCCTACCACATGTTTCCATTGCATTTTGTCTTCATTTTAATATCTATGTCATTGTATTACAGTTAATTAGGCACTTCTTTTATCACCCCAACCAGATTTGAGATTACAGAGGTGGCATGCAATAGTTGCTTAATAAGTCATTAAATTTTGAATTGAGAAAAAAGTTAAGCTTGATATATAAAATATTAAATATGAAAGAACATTAGATATCTTTAATGATTCTGCTATTTTTTAATGGAAAATATTTTCGGTAGCCCATGCAAATTCTTTTAATTTTGATTTTTGCCTACTCATTAAAAGCTGTTAACTTTAAAGAAAACATCTATAGTGCCAAAGCAATGGAAGTATCTATATAAAAATATTGTTGAATTATTAAATGTTGACTCTTATTCAGCAATTGCATCTTGTTATTTAAATTAAAACCCTGTCACACATTTAGGACGGAAATTTTACAAATCTATTTGGTGGAAGGCAATAGGGCAATATGTTTCAAGAGTTCTATAAGTCTTTATGGTCTTCGATCCAGCATTTGACTTGTAGGAAATAATATATCAGAAAAAAACTAAAGGTACAAATTAATCATATATTTAGTTTATTATTGTATTACATAGCATTTTATTATACTATTATAGCCAAATAAAATTACAAATAAAATTCAATGGAAAAAATTAAAAATAACTACATAAATTAGGGTATCTCCATATAATTGGAATATACATGAATAATCAAAGACATAAAAAACCAAAACAATATGAAAAAAGTAGCAAAAACTATATTTACTGTATAATCTGAAATATATACACACATATACGTATATGTATAGGAGGGAGAAAAAAGCATTAACAATATAATTTCCAGATAAAATTATGTTCAATTATAATTCTTCCTTTTTATATTTTCCAATATGATGTATATTCCTTACTCCTTGGATATTTTAAATTATTTTAAAACACTTGCACCCACAAACCTTGAACTATCTAGAATCTCCCCTAAATTGAAGCCAATTAGGACTGTTAGCAAACTATGCACTATAAACTTTGCTTCAAACAAATATACCCTTCACACAAAGCACTTTCCATACAGCATCAGATATAAAATGTCTTATAAAAAATTAACACGTTTTTAACCAAATAGCTCGGTAAAAATGGTATAAAGAAGGGAGATAAATCTAAGAAAGAAAGAACATAGAAAACTTTTGGATAAATTGATATTTGAGTGTGACAAATGGTTAGCATAGTGTGTGATGGAGAGCAAGACATATGTGAGAGAGTTGCCCCATCATATGTACATATTCATATGTAAGTAGAAAATGCAAAATATACCCCTTCTGTTTCTACCTTCTTTTCACCCTCTTCAGTTCCTCAAACACCTGGTTGCACAGCAGTGTACTTTCTTGGCAAAATATCTTCGTTAGAGGAGGAAGATGGCCTCCACTACTTCTTGTTGATGGACCAGAGAGGGCTAATGGGGTCAATCCAAGATGGCAGCCCCCATCACAGCTTAAGTACATATATCCTGGCATAATGAGTGGCCCCAGGCTGTTAATTCAGTCTGTAGTTTTTGTTCTTGCCAGGCACATTTTTTTTTTTTTCTATTCTTAGTTACAAAATTTGGAAGTGGCATGACACTTGCAACAATTTCCTACCTCAAATGAGGTAGTAGCAGTCAAGAGACTTTTACAGATTGATCTCATTGTGGTTACCACTTTATATACGCTATATGAGTAGTGTTAAAGAAAAACATATTCATAACACTCCTTAAAGATGGTAAGGCAAACTTTATTTAGGTGCAGGGAGGACTACTGTGATAGGCTTAGGGACCACCACAATGGGACTGTGCAATGAGGAAGAGAGATTAGGCTCAACTCCAAATACAGCATGGGTAAGTAGGAATTTATACCCAAACAGCAAGGAGTGATCAGTGAATGAAAAATTACTACAAGAAAAGATCAGGGATCAGTGGGGAATCCTGACTACACCAACCTAACAGGATTCTTGCTGAAGGCACACAAGGATGACCAGAACTTACCTGGGGGATAGTGGAGGATGATGAACTCATTTATTGAAAGAGAACAGATATGGGGCAGGGGGAGGGTGGGAGGGCGGGATGGTTCCAGTTAAAATGACTTAGCAGGATTCTCACTAAAATTGGACAATGGAGATACAAACATGGAAGCCCAAAAGGAAAGTCTAGTTGAAAAACAGTCTAGGGGACCCTGCGTAGAGTTCGGTCAAGGAGAGAATTTTTGTCAGTAGTTTAGACATTGTTTGTTTAACACTACCCAAATATCTGCAAGATTGAACTGTAACAGCAAATAGGGCTTTTTTTTTTAATAGTATTTTCATTTCATTCATATAAATAATGTGTTCTTTCTGACTCAGTTCTTACAGTCATCATCTTAATGTTGCCAGAACGTTCTTGGATATGACTGTTTGTGAGTCAGTGAAATATTCTTTCCACAACAATATTCAAAAATAATATGCTGCAATGTGAAGAATACTATAGGAATCACAAGATTTGGGCTTGATTCCTACCTCTGCTTCTAAACAATTATGTAATCTGGGATGTGTCATTAAGCCCACTCACCTTCAATTTTAATATCTACAGATGCTACAAAGGTATAGAACCCAGAAATCTATGCTTCTATCTCAATGGTTCTCAACCAGGGTAATTTTGCATACATATGTATCCCCTCTCTTCCCTCGCCACCAATTGTGAAAAATTTGGCAATGTCTGGAGATATTTTTCATTGTCACAACTGAAGGGAAGGAGCTATTGGCATACAGGGTAGAAGCCAGTAGGCTGCTGAGCATCCTACAATACACAGAGCAGCCCTCCACAACAAAGAATTGTTTTAGAAAATGTCAACAGTATAGTTCTGAGAAAATGTATTCTAATTGTACCATCTTATAGGAGAGAAATTCTGAATAGCTAGAAGATCAAAACTTTAAACATGTTTTAATGGTATTGAACTTCGAACAATAATAGTTGGCTTCTAGACTTGCTCGGGTGATGGTTGGTGAAATTTATCTTCTAAAATGTGAGAAAACATTTAGAAAAGTCTAGAACATCACCACTGATTTCAGCTGCCACAAGTCTTTAATTTAATGTGGGCTTATTCATGTAAAATTAGTCTTCTACACCTTAAGTACCAGCCTCATTTTCTATTATCTCAGCAAAGGCAGTTTAAAAAATCTGTTTCACACTACCAAATGTGATAGCATCAGGCAGGTGACACAACTTAGAAATCAACATGGGCTTATCTATAGGTCAGAGTCTAGTTAGATAGTTGACCATTTATTTGGTTATTTTCCCTAACCCTGGGCTTGATTATTTCTTGGTTATTTTTCCTAACACTAAGCTTGTCAGTGGCCAAGTACATTATTGCAGTAATATGAGGATTAGATAACATATTCATGTTGGAATTTCATTCCTAAAAAGGGGCAGAGAAGATCCTAATATAAATGATCATTAATTAAATGCAAAGATTAGGGAAAATCCACAGTTAAGAATCTTCTTTTAAAAATTATTTTAAAAGCCAGAATTTTATGAGATTAAAGACAACCATATATCAAAGATGTTTTCTCATTTGTCTGTGTTCATTTCTTTAACTGGAAAACAATGAAAAATCTGTCAGTTACACTAACCTGCACTCTAGTTTGATATATTCTTTGAAAAAGAGATGGAGAGAAAAATCTGCCTAGTCTTTTTTCTTTAAAAGTACAATAATTTTAAAATAATTATAGTCACTAAGAGTCCACAAGAAGTATAGATTCATAATGGAAGATTCTATCACTCATCTTGGTTTCAGCAGAGATCTTGTCAGCTTCAAAGATCTTGTTCATTGCTTTCAGGTGTTGCTACACCCTATAGACATGGTGACAGGAGGGCAAATTCACCTCAGATTGGAAGTTCTAAGACAGAATTGCAAATATATCTCAGCAAGTGTCTCAGCTAAATAGGTCTGAAAATCTTTCAATAAACACAAAATGATTTTTTCTCATTGATCAGTTTAGACCTCAGTAGGTCCCTGAGTGTTAGGGTCATAGAACATTGCAGAAGAACCAAATAAACTTGTATAGTATAGAAATCCGAGAGTTGTTGGATGAATGGAGAGAGATGTGACCATGCTACCATTTGTTCTTGAGATCACAGGCTTTTCTTTGAAACTCTGGGTAGATACTTCCATTTCTTTCACTTATAGTTGATGCAATTTTAGCAAGCTCTAAAAGCCTTATACTAACAGTCAATCAACTCTTAAAGTGCCTCGTCATTCTTGTCAAATCAGCCTTAATGTTTCTTGGCAGAAAATCCAATTGTTTCTGTAATGGTGGGCTTAAAGAAACCCCAAGCTAATGCTGAGAAGGATTCTCCATTTCCTAAAAGAAAGACTGTTACAAATGCTGTAACTTGATTTTAGCGTTCAACCTTTAGTCTTTTGACAATATAAATTTTGCTATGCAGTCTGATGTCATAGACAGACTAGACTTGTTGATCAGAAATCTGGCTTAGAATCACAGTTCCATCACTTAATAGTGGTGGGTCCTTGGGTACATCACTTCACATCACAATCTCAGTTACCCTCAAAAGATAAAACACCCAGCTCAAAGGGCTATTGTTGGCATTAAATGGAATAATGTTGTGAAAGTACTTTGTAAATTTCAAATCACTATACAAGTGTCATTTATATTATAATTTCTGCCTTTGAGAATAAATTGAACAGATACGCTAAGCAAATTAATCCAAGGTTAGAAGCGGGAGAACATGCATTATTGTGACCCTGTATATTAACATCATAACAGCATATCTTTTCCCTGGTTTACAAACAACCCACATATATAAACTGTGGAGGAAGAACCACTTCCTACTACCCACAAAGGTTACCATCCTTTTTCCTCTTAATATAAAATATGTAGCAAGGAGATGATCTAATGAGCTTCTAGTTTTATGCAGATGTAGAAAGGAAGAGAGTTTATAAGCTATGGGTACACTATGAGAGGGGACTTTTGCCAGGAGATAAGTCACTGTTGCAGGAAATGGATCCCAGTATTCCGTTGGGCTCAGATAGACACTCTTGTTGAAACCTTGTTACATGCAACAAGTATAATTGAAATATGATTTGCCCGAACTGGTAGTTCTTCTGGTTTCAAAATGTGTGCACTATGGTTTAGACAGGGCTTAATGGACAGTTCCCGAACCCAACCATTCCACATGATATTCTTTATATAGGAAAGTAAATTTTGGATAGAAAAAAAATAATGTTAAATAGACAGCTAGATTTTGACTCTGCTCCAAGGTAGGGATTACCAATATAATCAATGAAATATAAACTGTGTTGTAAATTCTATCAGGATTGGGTTTCCTGAAGATAGAATCAGGGAACTGCCTGCTGGTGAATTTGCAACAGTGAATGCTGTCCCAGGATGCTCCACTGGGAATTCTGGTATACTTGGAAGGGTCTCAGCCTTCCTAGGTGTAGATGGTCTTTATTTGAGTGTTGTCCTGTTACTATATATTGTGCTTATCTCAGGACATAGTATTTTGATGACATATTCCACTTGTTTGAAGAAGAGTAGAGGCCAATAGAATTGACCTTTTCCTCCTTCATTGCTAATAACTCTACTCTTAAAGCTTAGTGCTCTTTGCAACCTGAGCAATCACTTTTAAAAATTACTCAGAAATTAATAATGATGGTCCAGGCAATGAGATCATCTAACCATTTCTATCTATGCCAATTAATAACTGTGACTGAATCAGTTGTGTGGAAACTTGCGGTAATTCTTATGAATACCAATATTATTATGTCATATTAGAGTCTGCTTATTTGCCCTATAAACCCAGCCTAATTCTGTTTTTCTAGAAAAAAGATATGATTAGAATAAATTTTAATGTGTATTTTGTAATTTCCTAAATATGCCATACTGGTTTGCACATTCTGTTCCCACTGCCTGAAACCCTTCCCTCCTTGCCTCTCAGAGGAAATCCCCATCTTCCTCTCAGAGGATGTGCAAATACAAGCTAATCTACGTGGTCTCCCTAAGTCCTCCACTCCTCTCCCAGCCCAAATATAATTTTATGTATTCCACATCCTGCTCCCCTATATAGTTTTGCACTTACCTCCACTAGCACTTATGTTATCATCTTATAAATACTTGTTTATAGACTATTCACTGAGGTCAAGGAAAATATTATTAATCTGTAGTAGCTACAGGATAAAGTAAAAATCAAGTAAATGCCCACTAATTGTTTTCTGACTGCACAAGTAAGTGGTATTGAGAGTCAAGCATTGTGCTTTTGATGTTTTAGCTCCCTGACAGTTTAAAAACCTTATAGGTCATTCATTTATCCAATCTATTATTTCATTCAATTAATCATTTGAGAAGGATTCATAGTTACTGTGTATCTACTGCAAGGACAGGAATATATGTATCTATGGACCTTGCATTATCCATATCCTCCTGCCTTATCTGTTTTTTGTTTGTTTGTTTTGAGACAGGTTTTCACTCTGTCACCAGGGCTGGAATGCAGTGATGCAATCATAACTCACTGCAGCCTCTATCTCCTGGGCTTAAACAATCCTCCTGCCTCAGCCTCCCAAAGAGCTGGAATTACAGGTATGAGCCACCAGGTCTGGCCAGTCCAACTTATTTGGAACAGTGACATCTTGAGTTTCTAACTGTAATCCTCAGGCCAGATTTCTGCTCTGGTCCTCTGGCTTCTTACCTTAAAGTCTCTGGAAGCCCAATTCCCCAAGAATAGGTCAGCAGCAGACTTGAGTTTGGCTGACCTGTCATCAGTCCTCCTCACTATCTGAGTAAATTGGAGAAAGTTAATCTCTCAGGATCCCAGGTGTCACATCTGTAAAATGAGGATGATACATATTTCACAGGGTGGTCATAAGAAAATATGTGTAATACACCTTGGAAGTGGGAATCACTAAATGTTAGTTCCATCTGCCTGCTTTTTCTCTCCACTCCATCCTCCTTCAGTAGCTAAATGTTACGTAACCATGTTGGAGATAATCTTAATGGCCACTATAATTCTACCAGGTGGAAAAAAGTGAATATAGAGGTGGTGATTTCTTAAAAAAACTCATCAAGTTACCAGTATTTGAAAAGTCTTATAATTCCAAATACATCATTCATTCTTTTATTTATTCATTCAAGACGATTCCCTGACATGTGTCAGGCACTTCCCTAGGCTTTGAATACACAGCAATTAACAAGACAGACAATATTCTCTACCCGCATCAGACTTTAAGTCTGGCAGCTTTCAATTTATGAAGAGATCAAATGCTTCTAATTGTGTAGAAAGTTGGGAAACAGTTTACATTATCTAAGCATGAAAGAAAGGGGTTTTCTTGTTTGTTTTGGAATTTTCTAACTGAGACAGAGTTTTTATGTTGGGGTGTTTGCCAAAACACATTTTTAAAGGGTATCGCACATTTTAAAGGGTTGCACATAGTGGCTACTCAAAACCACATTTATTGAATGATTTGAATAACGTTTTAAAAGGGCTTCTATTTATTTTAGCCTTAAATTGCCTATGAAGACATAACAAGCCCAAAAAGGCCTTAGAAATTATCATCGAATGTTGACTGAGAAACAAAGAGTGTGAGTTTCATGCATCATGCCAGCTTTCCCACCTCCACTGGGAAAAACAGACAGGTTGGCCACCTAAATACACAAAAAGTTTTCACAGCTGGTGACTTTTGCTATTTAATTATGAGATGAGAAAGAACTGCTTCTCCTACCTGAGAGGAACATGAACTGATCTTACCCACTGGAAGGATTTAGAAAACATAATACTGAGAATAAGTTACACAAGAGAAATAGGAAAAAATACCCACTCACTGGCTACCTGAGCATACTGAACATTCATCCCATTGAGCTTACTGTTAACTCGCTCCCTTTGCTTTTGTGAAGAGACCTGGGAGCCTTCCTTTTTTGTTCTACAAAGGAAATGAATTCTGTTGTAGCTAGGATGGCTAATGGTGCTTCATTGAGTCTCTCTGCACTTAGGATGCATCTGTATTTCTGTGGCGAATGAAGCTCTCACTGCATCAGATGATGAAGAATATCCATGCTCCAATACCCACATGGCACTGTACTCACCAAGGCAACACTAACTTTATGCTCTGCACTGGAATGATGGTAAAATTTGGGAGGTAGATGTGTACTTAGAATTTCGTGTTGTTTGATCGCATCGATGAAAGGATGTGCAATCAATCTCCTCCTAAGACAGTGAGTGGTATTGGCCATAACTCATTACTCCGTCAAGGATTTGGCATTTCAATCGATGGGAAATGATGTGTGATCATTCTAATTTATTATACATCATTTCCCATCAATCGACGAACTAAAGCCCTGACGTAATAAGTACTTACAGACACTGTCAATCATTCTTGGTCCAAATACTTTCCAGTGCTGCCATTTGGGATATCTTCAAATAGTCATGAAAATGGAATATGTCCCCGGATTGCAAATGTGGTGATTTCACTCAGCAGAAAACTTTGAGGTAACCTCTTACTGGGGGATCCCATCAGCAATTATTTAAGCATTGGACCATCCCCCAATATAAAGGAGATGAAATTGATGGGTATTTTCATTAGCCATGATTTTCCTCCCAACGTGTTCAAAAGAGATTCAAAGATGGTGGTGCTACCAGAATCATTAAGGTACACTTCTGTCTTTGAAAAATGCCAATCTTTTCTGTCTACCTCTTTTCAAAAAATTTACTATTCCCCGAGTGCTTTTTGGAATACTGTCAAAATACATAGATTTTTCTGCCTTTTGTCACTGTGGAGAATGGCATCACAAGAGTGCAGATCACTAAATAGTATCAACATAGCAGAGCTCATGAATTACCAGTACTTTTAAATAAGATCCCTCAGCTGTTATTACTGCTTATACTGGAGCACTGGATGAGAACTGTCTGGTTTGATTAGTTCTATTTGTTTGAAGTTTGACTCTCATGAAAATCAAATAGGAAAAAAAAATTCTCAGGTGTGTATACTAAAGCAATAGTGTGCAAAATCATAATTTTGCACATTCATACTGAATATGGTTTTCATGGTAACTCCAAAAACTGCTGCTTCACATGAGCATTTTTGGTAGATTTGAAAACATGTCACGACATTTTCAATTTTTACTTTCTGATATTTTTCAGGAGCAAAACCATATTTCCATGAGAATTTGCATGCACAGTAGGAGGAGAATTTTTATTTTTACCAGCAGCAAAAGGAACATTTTCTGAAGAAAGGAGGGTGATGTACCCTCCATAACTGACACACATAGCAACATTTTTGCGAGGACAGAAGAAAAAATACTCCATTTCTGCTGGAAGACATTACTTACTTTGCCTTTGACTATCTCCCCCTAAATCTGTGGAAAATAGCAAGTAAAGTCCAACTGCAGAGGACTTTTCATTCTTAATAAACTTTTTTTAAAAGGAAAGAAAAGAAAGAAACTTTACATGGGTTTTTTCCTACCAGCAACATTTGTGGAATCAGCTTTTCTTCTTCTTTTTCAGAATCCAGCTGTGGAAGTGTGATCGTTTTGGAGGAGGACGTCTAGCACGATGTTTTGCATGCAGTGTGTGGATATGATCTAGAAGTCAGTTCAAGGACTGCAACTCATCCATAAGAAAGTTTGCTCCCATCCTGTTCAAAGACCCACTGCCCTGGAGATGAGAAATGACATACTAATACAATGGATTTTAATAGAATCTTTGTCGATGGATTTCAAAGCATTCATTAGCTCATTCAATCCTCATGATTTGCCTAAGCCAATCATTTTCTAATCCTGGTGGGGGCAATGTCCTCCTCACTCCTCCAAGCACCAGCCTTTCCTCTTTGCTTCCTCGTCAGCAGTCAGTACGTCTTGGCAGCACCAGGGCTTACTGGGGAGCCAGCTGGCTCCTTCAGCTCTTCATATGCTCTGGGGCTTATCCAGGCTAATGGAGTATCACAGTTCATTATGCACCTTCCTCCTCTACCCCCTGTGAGGAAGCTCCATAAATACCAAGTTTGGGGCAAGAGGCATCACTGCCGCAGAAGCTGCCAAAAAAAAAGCTGCCAGTATCCCATGGAGGAGCTAAGAAATATCAATATTTGTAACAAAATGTGTCCTGACCTCAGAAGAAGACTAGAGGAAGACCCAAGCAGGCAAAAAAATGAGGGTCATCTCCTAATCCTACCTTGGCCTGCATTTGTAGGGCAGCAGCCACTATATAGTTAAACTCTTGCACTATGCCAAGCCCTTTACATGTATCAGCTTATTTAGACCTTAAAACAAGCCTAAGAAATTGGTACTATTATAGCCCCCATTTTTTTAGGTGAGAAAACAAACAGGGACTTCGGCAAAATATCTCGCCTAAAGTCACAAGGCATGTGAAAGTGCTGGCATTCCAACCCTAGTCTCAGTAAGTCCATCTTTTCACCTGCTTTATAGTACAGACTTTAAGGAAGGAAAGTTACATTCAGTTTAAAGACAAAGAGGAAAGCAAGTCGAGGAGGGCTTTGTTGTATGAGGAAAGGGAAACAGAAAAAGAATAGAGGAGAGAAAATGGCAGGCATCCAAAGGATTAAGAGATGGGTCCAAATCTGGTACAGGAGTATAAAAATATAAACTTAAAAATCAGAAGGTCATCCTTATGATAATTAGGACATCTCTTCTGCAAATATTTATATCTGGAGAAGGAAAGCTACCATATTTTCAGAGGGAAAAATGATTACAAAAAAAGAAACCTCTTTTTGTTTTTTATTCAGAAAGCTGATGCATAATCAATCATGGCACATGTCATTCTAAGAAATGAGAGCCCTGCTTCAGAGCCCTCAGTAAAGAAGGAGACAGTGCCTAGAGTGAGTGTTCACTTTTGAGGTTTGAGTTTGATATGATTTGAAAAGCTTGAGTAATAAATTCCTGAAAAATGGGGTTTGGTAATGAGCAAGCCTTTAACTATATAGACATGTTGCCAGGTATCACTTTAATAAACTATTACAAATGATCGATGCAAAGGTGTTTCCAACAGCTGTTTATGCAATGTGGCTGGAAGAATTCTTCCATAAAGAAGCTGTTAGTGGGAAAATTGGCTATGCATGGCTGTGATGTCAAATCCACACAAAACAAACTTTTTCCTGTCAATCAACAATCTTGCCATAAATTAATCCATTTATAACAAGCCTTTTCTGAATTGACAGCTTCGATGTGAAGAAAAAAAAAGGACTCTTAAAGGAAAGTGAACTCAGAGTGGCTTTTTGCAACTCTTTAACACATGGGGAGAAGTGGCAAAGCCTCGTAATTTTAAATTTATGTTGAAAAAGGTTGGCAGCAGCTCCAAACACCAAGGTAGCTTTCCAAGAGCTGCTGAATACAATAAAGCCAGGGTGATCTCTTAGGTTTGGCTCACAGAGGTTAAGCATGACCTGCCCACATCCAATGATGGAAACAAATGCTGGACTGTCTGAGGCATAAAGATCAAATCCAGATGTAGCTGTAAACACACCCTTGTTTGCTTTTGGCACAAGGAGGTGCTGATGGCACCAAAACCTCATGCAGGTGACTATGTCTATGGGGTCAGTAGTGCCATAGTAGGTACATCGGACAGACCCTTGGTCCCTGTTGTTGCATTCTGTGTCCTGGTCCTTGATCTTACTTTCCATACATGTTGTTTTTCAAGCCCAGTTATCTCTGGTTTCTGATGTCATTTGCCAACAAGTTCAATTCATAAAAATCACAGGGTTGTAAAGAATGTCAACCTGACATTAGGTGTGTGCTTTTATGTCTCAGGTAAAATAATATCTAAGACAAAAGTTGTGTTTTCAGAGATGGCCAGAGACGAGATGCCATAATCCCTTCAGGGATCCCTAACCTGACATTCCTAGCTCTGCTTAATTTTTTTAACCTTCATACAGTAAGATGACTCCTTCTAGCACCACTACAGGCAAATGGAATTTGGCTATTTTTACTCCCTACATTCAGCATGCTACTTCTTCTGGTTAAATAACGTCTATTTCTGTAACCAAAGTTCTGTCTCCAAAACTCTTTCAGTACATGTGACATTCCTGCTCTCTTCAATTCTCTCTTCACCTCTCCACTCAGTCACTCTGACCAAAAAGTATGATTATGGTTTACGGCATGAAAAAATTGCCATAAGCAAAGATGAAAGCCAAAAATGATTTGATACACCAACACAACTCCTTCAATGTATTAGAAGGTTCTGTATGCTTTATACTTTGCTTTCCTGCACTGGATGAGAATGGCACTCTACATTCCCCCCCCAGTTTATTCTATTCAGTTGGCCCTTAAAGAGAGAAGCTCCATCTAATGCTTTCCTCTTCATAGATGCCTTGCCAGTCTCTGCTAAGGAAGATTATTCTGAGATTCCTGACACACTTGCTGAATTGTCCGTGCTCTTGCACCTTTGCCTAGATCTTTCCTGCCAGTTCACACCCAGACACAGGCAACCAGTGTCTAGGCCTTCCTGTTCCCCAGGTGCCTTATTGAACCCACTGCGTTTCGGTCACTTTGCTTTCTCTGTATCTTCATTTTGATTTAAATGTCTCTATCTACCCTAAGAAATTCTTCTAAAGGCCTTCCTCAGCATTCTCATCTTTCAGTACAAAGATACCTAGTCCCACAGTGCTACCAAAGATCAAAATGCTTGCCTATTCAGAGACAATCAAAGCCCTAACATTCAAAGCAGATAAAGCAAAGTTGTCCTTATTTGTAAGAAATGCATCTGTCCAAAATGTGCAAAATATTTTACGTACTTAATGTTGAGATGTAATAACATGTTCTTCCTCGGTATCTTAGTTGTTTTTCTGAGGTTATCATCCAAACAAATGTACTCATGTCATCCTGTGTGAAGTGAAATGTAACCTAACTTCCTCCCTCCCTTCTTTCCTTCTTTCCTTTAGTATTTACTGAGCTCATCACGTGCAGGTACAAGGAAGCCTCGTCATCCTGCTCAAAGCCAGAGATATTCCCAGCTATCACACTCCAGTGAGGCTCCCATGGCAGGATGAAGGTGAGATAGCAAGTTACCAGCAAAATTTATTCTGCATTTCTCCACAAGTATTTACTGAGGGCCGGGTACTTTTTCTAAGTTGAGGGTTCTATTAGTGTCAAAAAATATATAAAACCAGGCAAAAAGCTTGGGGGGCACATAGATACAAGCAATTGCTCCACATTCTTTATTTCTACATTTTATTTTCCTGACTCTAAGCTGATTCAGATAATGGGAAGATGAAGATAAAGAAAGGATGACTGAAAGGGAACCCTGGAACAGGAAGTCAGGAAGATGAACCTAAATTATGTAAAGATCAGAGGTTTCTTCAGAGTGATGGAGTTTGGACGGTACTACCCCCAAAATATAGCACCCTTGTCATTGAGAAAACAGCAGAAGCCATTCTCATAATCCCCTCTTTCCTGAAGCAGGTCATAAAACCTAGGAAGGTTGCTTCTCCTGCTCCTTTCCCCTAACGCTTATTCAAGAGGTACCCACCCTACACCTGCAGGAAAGGAACATCCGTATTTCTGAAGATAGGGGGATACAGAGAAGAATCAAACAGGCTTTGCTAAGTTTGCCCTAATTTATTACCACTTCTCTAACGTACCCACTCTGTCCAATCATGCCTTTGCATGACTAATTACTTCTTCATCAAACTTAAGGATAAAAATACATAGTTTTCTCTGTTTCTTTGTATCCTCATTTCTGAAGGCTCCTGTCTTATGTAAAGCTTATTAAATAAAGTCTGCACTTTTCTCTTGTTAATCTAGTTTTTATTATGGGGCCTTACCCATGAACCTAGTGATGGGTGAGAAAGCTATTTTCTTTTTCCTTGCAAGGGCCTCCAACTTTCTGTCTTCCCTGCCATCTTTTATTTTGGATGCTTCATTAACACCCAGCCACGAGCAGAATCTCTGCAGGAAGTCCAAGAATCCAAAACAGGCCAAGTTTACCATTTGTAGCTATCTAAGACTTCCCTCCAAATCCCCCCAAAACTGAGAGCTGGTTGCCGACATGGATAGATCAATTGTTATCCTTAAAAATCCATGTATAATGAAGAATAACAACAGTAATCCTTGGCAATTACACAGCTCCACTGCTCTCAAGCTTCACTTTACCATTACCACCAGAGCCCTTCAATAGAGGCAAGGGGCTCCTTTTGCCTGCCTGCATTGTTTCTCAATTTTGCATACCCTATTTAATTAAACAAGGATGGGCTAGCAGAATCTGACACCAAATTTCTTGAACCGGTTATTATTTGAGAACAATGCTTCTCCCAAAAAAAGAAATTTAGAGAAAAACCGAGATGAGCCAAAAGCTTAGGTGAACATTTTTGCTTTGGCTCTATATTTTTAAATTACGAGCAGTGCAAATGGAGATCTTAGGATAAAGTTACTGTAAATAAGATCTTTGTCTCTAAATGAGACTAGTTCCTCAAAACTCCTTTTTCTTTTTGACTTGCACTGTTCAGTCCCACTTTCAGTGAAATTCAATCACATTCATTAGCATTTCTAAAGATGTAAGCTACTCAAAACAGCTGCATTGTCTTTCCTTTTCAACTAAAATGAAGCTTTTCCTTCTAAAGGGAGAAATCTCCCTTTAGTTACCCGATTCTTTCTGCTTGGCACCCATAATTTTCAATGGTGGAGCCAACCCCCATGAAACAGGAAGTGCAATCCCATTTGATCTCACTTGAAAGAAATT